TAGGATCCCGTGTAGCCTCCGAGTAGTCCACTGACGACGTTGGACCAGCCCACAGTCTTGAGTTCGTGGTTGATGTCGAGCTTGGTCCCCATGTCGATCTCAATGGCGACGACGTCGAGACTGGACGAGATGGCGACGATGAAGACCATACCGATCCACGTGACGATCTGGTTGGGGATCTGATCCCAGTGCACCAGGTCGAAGTCGAAGAGGTTGACGAGTTCTGAGATGGAGGCAGTTTTCTCCACGGGGTCAACCCATCCGTCTTGACGTGCTTCATCGAGTGAGATACTGCCGATTGCCAGCACCAGGAAGAAGAACACTGGCATGACCATGATGGCGGTTGAGAGTGCGAACGGGTTCTTGAAGTTTTGTGAGACCACCAGTAATATAGCTCCACCCAGGAACCCCGGCACACACAGCAAGATGTTGTGAGTATCGTGGAACATGTCGATCATAGAGGAGAAGTCGTTGATGACGAGTCCCGTGCTGAGTGCGAGACCCGCGTAGAGGCAGAAGACACCGATGAAGGCGAGGTATCCACCAATCACAGGCATAGGGAGGTACGAAGTGAGAGCTGCCAGTTTGAATCGTCCCATGACGACGAGGCAGACTCCCAACGAAGCTGTAGCGATACCGATAGTGACGATGGTAGTGGCGACTTTGGCTTCAGGAGACACATCGTCCCCGAGCGAGTTGCAGATGGAGGTGGCCATGGCGCTGAGGAAGATGAGACCGGCGTCCTGGACTTGTCCGATGGCGAATGGCATGGTGCTCATGAGTGTGAACATCACTTGGTGGACGGCACTGGAGAAGATGACGAGCTTGGAGAGTGCTGGCATGAAGTCGGCGAAGGCGTGGTGGCTGAAGATGATGACGGCGTAACCGTACATGGTTGGGATGGCTCGGATGGCATTGACGACGCCGTACAGCAAAGAGTTGGCATGCTTCGCGAAGCGCTGTGCATTGTAGGAACTGTTGCTCTGCTTCAAAGGCTTAGTCATTTCATCTGTACCATCCAGGAATGGCCGGGAAGGGGAATCGACGTTGGTCTTTCGGCTGGAGCCGTGGGTGATTGAGGCGACGGAGACCATACCAAGCAAACGTGTGGGGATCAAGCTTCCTCAGTTGCGATGGCTGGCACGCAGAGATGAAAAAGGATAATGCTAGAGCTGGTTGGGACAAGTTAACATCGCAGGATTGCAATATCGACACAGTTGTGCAATTCATTTGGATACTTGAGAATGATCTCACTTAACAAGTGGAGAGCTCGACGGCCTTCATAATAGAGGGAAATCGATCCGTTTCCCTCACAATACTCTATCGCTTAATAAAGTAGTATGTGATGAATCGGCGGAGAATAACTGTCAAAACCTGTCAAATATCAACATCCCTGGGATCGAAGGTACCGTTCCAGCAAGAATGCGACATCAGATATGGCTCAGAGGTATCTTAGTGTCGCCTGAAGACGTCCGCTGTACTTACCTCAGCATGCAAATGTTGCATCGAATTTGGTTGCGGAGAGCAAAGCGAAAGAGAAGCACAATGTGTTGTACTCCAGCCCTTCCGTACAACCAGCAAAAGACCCTCAATTAAAGAGGCCTGTCGATTACGCGAAGCTTACAGCTCCACCACCGGCACGCCGTGCGCAGGGGCGGTGCGCATGGCTTCATTGCGGGAGGCTCTACGGATTTGAATCTACTGTATCTTAGCGATCGCTTGGTGAGTCGTCAACGGCGACCACTCGATTGCCGTGTTGATTTCGGCTTGCACCGTCAACGTCCAGGCTCGGCCAGTTTGTCCACGTCTCCGTACGCAATATCCAGAGCATCGTCAGGAGTGCGACTTGTATCCCATAGAATTGACTTTGGGCAGACTGACTCTGGCAGATTGGCTCAAGGATCGGATGGAAGCAGGAAGTCTTCGATGCAGTTTAGGCACACCGCTGCTCCAGCATAGTACACCGTGAACTAAGGCTCTCATCACTTGAGTCATGGGCAGTTGATGTACTCTTTCACCCGTGTTTGCACTGTAGACTATAATACTAACGCATGAAGTAGTAGATACAGTTGTATTGAGCTCGATTTCCTTGCTCGTGAATTGGAGATGGACATCCACTATTCTGTTTTTATGTTTTTGTTTTTGCAGTGATGTAAAGCTACTCTGCTTGACGGTGCCACCGTTTCCATGGCATGGAATCCATGCTGCGAGTCATGCATATGTACACGCACCAACACGCAAAACTACAGTAGGACCCTGGAGGACCATTCCATTCCGCCGTTGCAGGTTTAGATTCAGACTGGAATCAGATCGTTGGCCAGGCTCAGTACAATACGGATGATACATGTACCTCCGATTTGCTCCGGCTAACTGCAATCAACCATTTTTAACTCGTTGGTGGCGGCTGTGGCGCGATGGCCGCAATGCGAGGCTACCCCAAGATGTATGGCGCCGTCGCAGGGACTGGAATCGTGACTCCAGCGTCGTACAAGGCTCCAGAAGAGTGGATTAGTGATGTCAACTGCCCGTCTCAGCCGTTGCTCTCCACCACCGGAACACCATCTGCTATCAATAATAAGACGCATGACTCCAAGACCAAGCAGAACCTTGAGAAGATCGCCAACTCTTTGCTGTACGGCGTCGTCAATGCCATCCGAGCCATCCCAACCATGTACGGTTACGCCGTCATCATCTTCAGCCACTACGCCTTCGCCG